TACTTTTTTTATACGTTTCTTGATTTTTTTTGTTAATAATGTACATTAATTTATGTTCATTTGTTTCCTTTCTCCATCACAGAGTACCAACTTCCCTCATTTTAACAGATAATGTTTCAAAAAAAAAAGTCGGGGGCAGCCCCCCTACTTCGACGGGCTGGCTCCGTCCCTGTCTGCAGGTCTACCGTAATATTGTACATATGTAGGAGGCGTCAGCCTGTTGATATATGCATATTCAGTCACATAGGGTGATGGATTGAAGGCATTGTAACTGTGATGAGTCGAGTATGTGGGTTGAGGTGGCTCGACTCTAATCAATCCCGGTGCTGGTGAACCACGGTGTGGATTCCATTGTCCACCACCGTAGCCATATGGCCCATATCTATCTGGTACATAACATGGTGGTGTATCACATGAATTTCTTCAGCATCTTTTGGTTTAGAGGTTTGAACTGGAGGCTGGTTTGTTGGAGTACCATTAGCACCATCAGATGGTGGATTTTCCGACACTGGTAATGATTCTTTTGGTGCCTCTGCTTGTGTTGGTGTTTCTGCTGTGAGCTGGTTAGCTCCCTCTGTTGCTGGTGGTGCTCCTCCCTCTGTTCCTGGTGCTGGTTCTGACGAGTGATCATCAGATGGCTCTGAATCTGAACAAATTATCACAGTTCTTCTAGTTTTCTTAATGGCTTTGGCTATTTTGTGAGGATCTGCCCACCCAATTATTGTTATCTTTTGCTGAGGAAAATCAACATAGAGATCTTATATACCTGACAAATATAAATGTTTTGCAAATTATTCTCTATGGATTAAAATAAAAAGTGCATGCAATTAACATTAATTGTTGATTGAAACTAATTTACTTACCATTGATACCATGCAAGGCCTTCTTTATTTTCTGCACGCATCCACTGCAGTCCATGCGAACTTGTATCTCTGTGACTAGAGGTTTCTGCAGCTTGTAAAATTTAAAAAGAAATTAATTAAAAATATAATCAAAAGAGGAAACACTAATTATGAAAATAATTGTTTGTAAATTAATTTGTACCTATATTTGACATGGGTTTGAAGACCTACCTCCATTTCTGGGAGAGTCATGGAGATTGGAGAATGATGCTGAAGGAACAAATTAAGGTGCTTTGTGGGATGGACAGAGTTGGGGATTGTAAATGGAGATTCAATATATCTCATTCATTTGTGCATGGAGGGGAATATTTAAAAGTAATTTTGAAGTCATTGGACTTGCAAAGAATCTGCTTTTACCGTTGTTTCCTAAGTCATCTCTTCTAAAAGTTTAAAATGTTATATTTTACACAATATCGTGTGTAAGTCAAATTCATTCTCATCAAATGATCGATACGTGTAGGATGCTGAGAAAACTTGAACTCAAGAACGGAATCCCTCATTTTACATTTACAATCTGATTGGTTTGATTAGGCAACTTTTTAAAGTCAATGTCATGTCGTGGATTCACTCCCTAGTCCCTAAGTTTGGGTGTTTTATTTGGACCCTAGAACGTTGATGGGAATATTTTCGCTTTAGTTTGGATGATTGTCTGGCTATGTAAGTTTGAATCCAAACCGACCATAGAAAAGAAATGAAAATATAGTGAGAGCACAAGATTATATTCATCCACCCAATGGTCAACCAAATGAAAGTAGCTTTGCGATTGAAGTGTACATATCCACTATTCGGGAATCATTTTGTAACAAGAAAGAGACCAATGTATTAAAATAATGTAAACATCATATATTTTCACAAATTACAATAACTAATCAAATTGGGGAAGTATTAATGATAAATCTCACCTCTGAGTTTGGTCTACCTAGGTCTTAATACAATATTAGAGTTTAGTAAGTTTTAACGAGTAATTCGATCTCGTTAAGACTCGAAATGAGCATCAGATTTTAAAATTGATCTGCTCAAACGAGTCATTATTTTACGAAACATTTTTGGGCATGCTAAAATCATTTGAATATGAATTTTGTTCGATGACACAATTAGTACTTATTGTTGAGAATTTAAATAAACGTAGGTTAAAAATAAGGAAAAAATTTCAATTTACATGTAAATTATTTTATAGAAAAGAATGTGATCGAAAATGTGTTTTAAAGAAAATGGAGCCAAGCATAGGCTATATAAAGTCTTATGTAATTAAATTCTCGTGGCACATTTTTTTATATTATAAATTGTATTACTAAAAATTTAACTATTTAATACGTTAAAAAATGACACATTAATATTAACTATAATGAAATATATGAAATATTAAAATTTCTTATATCATCTTAAATTTAATTTTTAAAATATATTATCACGAATTAACAATGAAAAATAATATTAAATAAAAAATTATAATAAAAATGTCATTTTAACCATTCAAGAAGAATATTTAAATTAAAAATTGATGAATAGAAAAATTAAATATTTGGTACTTACCATAAATTAATTAGCGTAATTAATGCAAATTTAGCTTTCCATAAAAGTTAAATTTAGTTTTTTTTTTTTTTGGAGCTTCTAAAATAAAAAGCTATTTTTTCCATTCCGTACCGTTTTTGACCGCAGCCAAACAATGTATTTTTTAAAATAGAAGTTCTATTGAACTCCCCAAACCCTACTAGGCGCACACTAAACAGGCTATGGCTGAACCAGTGAGTAGTGGTTGAATCTTTTTTTATCAAGCCCTCCAATTATTTTCAAAAAATATACTCTTTTTTAACATTATATTTTTCAATAAAATAATATTACACGTAAATTCAAAATTTTCCTTATTTTTTAATCATACATTCTCTATCAATTTACTATTCCAAAATATATTTTTAGATTATAATAGCGCTCAAACGGGCTTTAAAAAGTAAAATAACTGTGAGTTTTTCTCTAATTTAGATCCAAATACTCGTTGATTTGCATATGAATTTCAAGACTTCAAATTAACAAGTATTTGATGTTTAATTTTCTAATAATCTTAGGAAAAAAAGACTAAAAATTCAATGTCACATGGATTCAACGAGGAGTAGATTGCATATTCGTCCACTATTATACGCTTCTGCCTACATCAATAAAATTGCCTAAACTTGTTCAAATGGAAGAAGACTCAACTTTGGATCATCTGCTAAGAATGCATTTCTGATGTAGAACATATTGTTGAAGAATTGGATCAAAATTAGGAAAAAGTAATAGTGCAGAGAGAACATCTGAATTTCGATTTGGGCTTATAATACTATTTGGGAAAGAGGACGATGATACGAGTAAAACTCATTGATGTGCCAGGATGTACAATGGAATTTGGTCATCCAAATTCGTTTAGAAATCGAAAACTTGTTTTTTAAAGTTTTAGTGATATTTTTGTCATTTAGTAAAATCGGCGCTGCGGTACCCATCGTCGGGTGGAAACTGCACTACGCATCTTTCAGTATTCTTATCATAACTTTTTCTTTTGATATCCAATTGAGGTGATTCAAGATGATTTGGGAAGATGACTCAAAGGGATACAATGTTTCTTCAGATATCATTTTCCAATTCAAATGTTTGATATTTCAAAAATGAGTCTCAATATGAGACTACAAATCTAGAGTATAACTTTTTCGGTTGCAAATTGATGTGTGATCATACTTTGATCATATTTGACTCCTTTAACTTATTTCTTCATCCAATTGACTCCAAACACTCTCGAATCTTCATTTTAAGGTTCTACACAATTTTTGAGTATTTACACTTTAGTCCTCGAATTTTGGATCTCTTACAATTTAGCACTTTTTTTCCAATTTTGCCTACTCTTACTTGTTTCCTTCAATTCCATCAACTTATATCACAACATCAAAACACACATTAAAACGTACTAAAACTCTCTCAAGGATAAAAAAAAAAAAAAATAACGAATTGAATGGTATAAATATCATGAGTGTAGAACACTCATTACATGGTCTTTTATTAAATTAATTTCGCACCCACTGTTTAACTCAAACTTATTACCCTATCACATAAATTTATGGAATCCATACTTGACTCCCAGTGAGCTGGGATCCTATTTATATATATACATCTAGTATGCAAATAAACATACATATAATAGTATGGACGATTATGGACTTATACTATCTAATCTTTCTAAGCCACAAGAAAGATTAGTTGGTTAGTTCCTAAGGGGTATTGCATTGATTCATACAATGCTCCATCTCTATGGTCTCCACCTCNTGTACTCAACAAGAGATAAATATTAGTTAAGTCAAACTCATCATTTAGAAATATCTAATATTTCATAGTGTCAAATATATCCCTAATAGACCAACCTTGAGTGTACTCAACAAGCTAAGAACGATTTAGGACTCTCGTTTTTCACTATAATGATGGAAGGCGAATAACAAATTGACATAATATTTTTAACGAGGGGTTTTGCATGCAAAAGATCTTATCGTAATAATTATATATATTTTATTATACATTTAGCATACAAATAAACATATATATAATAGGGAGGACGATTATGGACTTTACTATCTCTTTAATCTTCATAAAAATGGTTATCTAATCTATTTTCTTGTCCATGTAGACGATAAAAATGGTTCAACACCTGCTAATGCTACTGAGTTTCAACTAGTCATCGGGTCTTTAGACTCTATCTCTCTCTCTAGATCAGACATCTCCTCTACAGTTAACAAACTAGCTCAATGCATGCATTGCCCAACTCAAACTCACTAAATAGCAGCAAAGAGACTGTTGCAGTATTTAAAGAACACCATTACTTTTGGTTTTCACCTCTAGCACCATCTACCACTATCCCCATGTGTTTTTTTAATTCCGATTGGGTGGGTAAACATCATGATCGCACTTCTACCATATTATACATTGTTTATCTAGGCAGCATTGTGATTTCCTGGTCCTCTAAAAAGCAAAAAACTGTTGCTCGATCTTCAAAAAAAGCATAAAAAAAATTTTGAATTTGAAATCCCAAAAATACCCTGAAGAGGATTAAATGCAAAAATAAAGAGGAAATTACAGCCACACGAGTATTTAAGATTAAATTTTCATAAATCCGGATTCAAGTTGATATTTCACAAATCAGGTTTTAAGGAATAAAAAAAAATTATTTTTTTATTTATAATAACCAACCCGTTTGTTATGTGAAGATTGGAGAGAGAGAGAGTTTTAAATAAATAAACTATATCTTCAATAACCGCATAGAACATCTAAACATCATAACTCTCGCACCATTCCTAAAAATTCCAAATTGATTCTTACCCAAAACATACCATTTACTTCATTTTGACATCAAATGAAAACCCCAAATCAATTCTTGCCTACATTATTCACGGAAGAAGTAAAGGCGGTGGAAAAAAGGGAAGGCCGATGATCGAGACTTGTTTTTGAGATTTTGCCAACGGTGAATAGAAGCTATGCCGTTAACGAGAAGTTGTGACCGGAAGCTACATTCCGACACCGGTAAACCTTCTGAAACCACACAACGATGTAGAAGAAAGTCAAATGTGTCAAAGGAATGCCGTGAAGAAAAATTGAAAACCCATGGTAAAATCGCGACCGAACGTGGAAAAGAGGGGTCAAGAGGAAATCCCTAGAACTCCCATATACCCTCGAAAATCGAAACCGAAGAATGTAGTTTTTTTTTATTTTTTTGGTATTGTGATCATCTATTTTTGATTGTGACCTAGATTTTAATAAACTGTGACCAAAGGTACATGTTTATACAAAACAGTTTCATCTAGGTCACAGTTCTTGCTCATATGTGACCTCGATTTTCTGTTTGCGAAGTGATGTGGATAACTATTGCTGAAATTTGTGAAATGTAACAGACATGTGTTTTACACTTGTGAAATTTGATTTTGATGCTACAGACCGAAGTTCATAGGTTACAACAACAACATATGTTAGTCACATATTTGAATTTTTTGTCACAAATATTTGTACAGATGTTGAACAAATTTATAAAATTCATATTTGGTCACAAATATGAACGTTTTTTTGATTTTTTTTTTTAAAGAAATGATGCATGAAACTACAAGTCACATATACCATGAAACAACGAGATGTACAAGTCACAAAGTCTTTTTTCAAAACTTTTGCTTACAGATTCCTGTATGCAA